TATCATCTATCTATCTATCATCTATCTATCATCTATCTATCTATCTATCTATCTATCTATCTATCTATCTATCTATCTATCTGTCTATCTATCATCATCATCATCTATCTATATCTGCCTATCTTCTATATCTCAAACAAACCTTCCAAATTTGAGGGAAATTCCCCCATTTTCACTTATTGTGGTAAGAGTCCAAATAGGAACTGCTTTGAATCAAACTGGCAATTTAGATGATTGCCAGGGAAAATACTGGATCTAGCCTTTTGCATAGGTGATAACACCCTGAGAAGTGGGAATCTGAGATTCTGAGAGACTCCTTATAAATGTGGAAGAATGGAATCAAGTACATGATCATCACTTCTGGTGACTCCCTTTCAAATGTAACCATGATTTCTTATTTCTGTTTTATGATGTCTTAAAGCATATATATATATATGCTTAATGTGTAGACTCATTGAGTTGTGTGGTACATGGAGTCAAGGATTCAGGTTACTCTACCTGAACTGGAGTGAGTCTCCCTCCTCCTGGTCTAGGGCAATGAAAATCAGGTAAGCATAAGTTTCAGGATAGTAAGGCTTTGTCCTATGCTTTGTTTGAAAGATAAAATTTAAAAAATTTTCTGTTTTTCTAATTTCAGAGAAAATTTCACAAGAGATTTGTGTAGTTATGGACACAAAAGAAGATCAAGAACCTGTAGGGCATCTTCTTGAAGAAGTGCTAAAAAATGAATTAAATGTAAGTATTCAAAGACAGAGTTTGATGAATTTTGTCAGAAACTTTTGTGGTATATTGGTGTCTTTCTTGAAAGAGCATACAAAGTATTCAGCCTTAATGTTATCATTTTCCCTTGACAAGGTTCTTCATTCCCTTAACACTTGGAACTTGTAGCACCCTTTATCCCCTTTATCCAGTCTTCTTGTGGATTTCGTATGATCCTCATCCTCATATGTGACATGTTCTGAAAGCCCTTCCTAGTTACAGCTGGAGGCACAGTGGAAGGAGGCACAGCCGAGCATGCATGGAAGCTAGTAAATTTGATGATTATGTAAGTATTAGAGAAAGATGAAGCCGGGGAAAAAGACGGATAGATGGTGACAAAGGAGGGGTCATCATGATGCTGAGAAAGTGATTATATGTGCATTTAAAAAAGAATTTTTTTTACTTTTTAAATTTTATGTATATGAGGGCATTGTCTGCATGTATGTAAGTACACTTTTGTCATGCAGTGCCCACAGAGGACAGAAGTGGGTGTTAGAACCCCTGGAATTCGAGTTGCAGACAGCTTTTAACTGCCATGTGTGCTGGATTCAAACCCAGGTCTTCTGCAACAACAGCTAGTGCTCTTAACTGCTAAGCCATCTCTCCAGCCCCTGTGTATCATTTTTGAACTTACTAGTTTTCCAGTTAAACTCCTCTCTAGTAGGACTGCAGAAATATATGAGGCAGTGTGGGGGATGTCTATAGGAGCTACTTGTAGCTTTTACCACTGAGGCCTTTTATAATAACTTTAAAAAATATTTTATTTATTATTTTTATTTTATGTGTGTGAGTGTTATACCTGTGTGTAGGTAAGTGCACCTGTGTCATGCAATGCCTGCAGAGGGCAGAAGAGGCTGTCAGATCCCCTGGAACTGGAGTTACAGACAGTTGTTAGCCACCATGTGGGTGCTGGGATTTGAACCTGGGTCTTCTGCCAAGAACAGCCAGTGTTCTTAGCTGCTGAGCCATCTCTCCAGCCCTACCTTCTATAATAACTTTATGACAACTTTGAAGTGTATTTGATTGCCTATCTGATTTCACTACATTTTAATTTCACATATTAAGTAGAATTTGTGACTAACATGTGATGACTTTTTAATGTACCTGCTATGATCCTTGTTAAATGCAGGAAAATTTTATTTAAGGTAGCTGTGGAGTTTTGACAGCATAGAATCAGCTCTGACATAGAGAGTCTATATTTAGATATCAGTTTTGCTGTCTAAATTATATTAACAGCATCTACATTATAAAGTTGAGGAGGTTCAAGAAAATATATCTAAGTGCATTTTCTTTGTTGTATTAATAAATTTTTATTTAATGGTAACCACAAATCTTGTTGGTAGCCTAGAAATGAATCATTTGTTTTTCTAAAATGAATCCTCCAACTGATTGTCTAGGGAGGGCTCACCAATGGATTATCCTGAAGTTCTTCTGTGAGAATAAAATTATTTTATTTCTCAAAATCCTCAAAGTAATTTTGGCTACATTAAAAAAAAAACCTTAGCTCAAAATTTTTCTTTGACTATTTTAAACACACAATTCATCATTTTCTTGCTTATAAAATATTTTGATCAAGAGTGATAGAAATCTGATTTTCCATACCTTATAAGTGACTTGGTAAATTTTTGCCTGGATGCCCAAATAATTTTTTTCTTTTAAAGTCCAATTGTTTTATTGAAGATTTCTTCATGGTGGTTACTTTTGGTGGATATCCTGAAGTACACAACGCATTATTTTATTATATAAATTCAAGTCTTTTTTATTTAATAATTCCAATAGCATTCTTATTTTTAGTATTTTCTGTTACATCAGTTTTCTTTTTCAGTGATTCCTCCCTTCAGAATCCACTCTTTTTTATTTTTTATTGAATTTTTGTGTATTTCATATATGAAATCATGTTTATTCCCCCTTCCCTTTGGCACCCCACCCCCCCGGGCCCCCTAGAGTTCATGCATTCTGTCATTTGTGTTAAGGTTTATCATTGTAAAGTTAGTGTCCCCAGATGTTCCTTGGTGCAAGTTCATCTACTGGGATTTAGTCAGCTTATCTAGAGTCCCTCCCTTTAAGAAGATCAGCTATTCCTCACCCAGTAGTAATCATCTGCCAATAACTCTTTGACTAATGTTGGGGCCTGTTCATTATGTGCTGGGATTTGGTTTGCTTAAGTTTGCATGGGTCTTGTACATGCTGATACCATTGCTGTAGTTTTGTATGAGACAGGTTCCAGACACCTTTAGAACTGTTTCCCTTTGGTCCTGCACCTCCTCCCTGGCTCTTACAATCTTTCCGCCTCCTCTTATGCAATGGTCCCTGAACCCTGGGTGGGTGGATTTTAATGTAGGAGTCCTGTCCAAGAACCCACATTCTGCAGACTCTTATTCTCTGTGCTTTGGCCATTTGTGACCTTTTGTGTTCCTGACCCTCTGTTGCATGATGGAGCTTCACTGATGAAAGTTGAAAGATGGAGTAATGTTTTCTTCATCCCTTGTTCTATGTTCTGTGAGCCTTAGGTGTAGAGGTTGCATCCTAGATGTACCACTTAGACTGGGGCAGTTCACAGACAATCTCTGTGTGTGATCAGTTGTAGAACTCTGTAATTATCTCTGTCTCTTGAAAAAGAAGCTTCTTTGATGTGTGCTGACTGGGATACTTGTCTATAAATTTAAGGAGCATCTTTTGCACATAGTAAGAGATTATATTTGTCTAGAGATGTGACAGCCTTGGAGTTTTCTCTAAGATCTATGATCTCTCCAGCTATGTATATTTGCTAGGTTTACAGTACCACACATGAGTTTCCTCCCATTGAGGGGGGCTTCAAGTCCAATTAGATAGCTGTTGATTACCCCCAAGATAAAAGTGCCACTACTGGAACAGTGTCATTTGCGGTGCTGGTCATTGACATGGTTTTTATGCCTTACAGCTGGGTTGGACCACAGATTGATCTTCTCCCTTAGTATCTTGCATAGTGTTCTTCAAAGCTATGAAAGCTAGCCTTTTGGGAAGGTGGCTTCCAGGTCAATTCCAGCTCTATTGCTCCAAATCTTGTGTTCAAAGTATGTCCTGTCTTCAGCAATAGGGTCTTACCTTCAAGTTCTGAGAGGCAATCAAGGAGTGTGCAATAGTCTGTGTAATTCTGGGGGTCTCTTGGACTACCCTGACCAACAACTCAAAGGAAGGTTTCTCCTGTCTGGCATGTTTCTTTTTATATATTCTTCAGCTATACTCATGGCCTCATGTAGGGATATTGTACATGTAATTTTTCAGTAGGTTTTTGTACTAATACAATTTTTCTGGTTTTTAATACTAGCTAGGTACTACTTATCTTTATTTTCTCTCTTTTTACCAGTTTTTAGAATCTTCTTACTTATTTGAATTTCACATTTCTTTTTAGACATGAGAAGGCCTATTACTTTGCTTTTCTTTCTTGCTGATTTTCTCTTCATTTCTACAATGAAAAGATTTTTTTTTTTTTTTTTCTGTTCTATTCCTTGTGTTTCTTAGTATTCTAATTCGGAGTTTTCAGTTTCATGCAGTGTATTGTATTTTCAGTTTGTCCTAATTTGTTTCTTCATTGCTGTGACAAAACACTCTGACCACTACCAACTTGGGGAGGAAAGGGTTTATTTAGCTTACATATCCCAGGTCAAAGTTCATTAGGGAGCCCAAAGTAGGAACCTGGAGGAAGGAGCTGGAGCACAGGCCATGGAGGAATGCTGCTTACTGGCTTGCTCGACTACTTACTGGCTTGCTACCTGGCCCTTGCTCAGCCTACTTTCTTATGCAACACAGGCCCACCTGCCCAGGGGTGGCACCACCCACAGTGGGTTGGGCCCTCCCACATCACTCATCAAGAAGATGCCCCTCAGACATGGCCACAGGCCAATCCA